ATGTTCATGGGCCAAATAGTTAGTTACAAATTGTAAAGGTGAACTGACTGTACATGTTCAGTGTTTTACATGATTTATTTAGTCATGTCTATCTATGTTTATGGGCCAAATAGTTAGTTACAAATTGTAAAGGTGAACTGACTGTACATGTTCAGTGTTTTACATGATTTATTTATTGATGTCTATCTATGTTTATGGGCCAAATAATAAGTTACAAATTGTAAAGGTGAACTGACTGTACATGTTCAGTATTTTACATGATTTATTTAGTGATGTCTATCTATGTTTATTGGCCAAATTGTGAAGGTTAACTGACTGTACATGTTCAGTGTTTTACATGATTTATTTAGTCATTCATTGTTTAGGGGCCAAATTGTTAGTTACTTATTGTAAAGATGAACAACTGCACATGTTCAGTGTTATACAGGATTTCTTTAGCCTAGTCTATTATTGTTAGGGATCAAGATGTTGATTTCCAGTGGTAAAGATGACAAACTTTATCTCTTCAATATCTTACATGGAATAAAGGCAAGTTTCTTTTTTTTTTGTCTAAGAAAACATAGGAACATATAATTCTAGTGTTAGTTAGTGTTTTGTATACAATATGAAGGTGGATGGTTGTTCCTCATGGAGTACTCGTGTAGTAATATCAATAGTTCATGCTGCCACAAACTGACTTGAAGTATTGTAGTATTTTTTGGCTGGTCATATTTGTCTTCCAGCTTTAAGGTGTATAGTTTTACATATTAAAACAAAACTGGTAATTCAATTTTGTGTAGGATATACGGGGAAAAAAATATTCTCATGCTATCTTTTTCAAGAAATAACTTTACAGTTTATATATTACTGACAGTTCTGTATTTTGCTAACCTATGCAATGAAAAAATATACATATTGTGGTAGATTTAACTGCTAAGTTTCTGAGGATAACACATTAGTTGGTTAAAGATAATCTTAATTATATGAATTACAAGTAAAAATTACACCTAAATCCAAGATGTATATGTTTGATTGTTTGTCACTCAGGTGTCAGAATGTATTTGGTGGAAAGTAATACCATACTCTCCGACCCAGATCAAGTTATTGGAGAATATGGTTGGTTGGATCATAACATTTTTGTTACATCTCTTGGAGGTATATAGATTTATGTATAATCTTGATATTCATGCTAACCTTAATTATTCAGAGCTCATCACTGAATCATTTTGGATGGTCAGCTGTTTGTTAGACATTTATTAAGTTAGCACGAAAAGAAATTTTTAGCTCTTGGTTACCCTATTAAGGCATCACTTAGAAATGTATTAGCAAGTTAAGGTTATATGGGAAAAAAATTGTTGTCTAGTCACAATAAAGATATTATGAAAAATATCACTTTTGTATTTGTGTATTTTTATACCTAAGTTATTTTTGGAGATAAATGTAGATCCTTTGATTCTTCTGGTTTTGTATCTGAAAAGTCATTTTAATCTGTAAATAGCCACTTTATTTTTAAGTAATACTTACATATTATGTGTTCCAAAGTATTTTAGCTATTTTTGGTTTTGCCTCTTTTTTTTTTTTTTTACCTTTATTGTTCTGAAATCTATTAAATAGCATCACATGAAGGTTATAATAAGTTATTGTAACTTGGTCAAACAAGAGGAAAAGCCATTTTAATAATAATTAAAAGGACTTGTTAATTTTATGTTTTTGTGGGTTAATCAATTTTTTGGAAGCCATAGACTATCATTCCAGAAATTATGGTCAATGGGTAACCAATTATTTATTTAACCCGATGACTACCGGCAACTAATTTTCTTATTTATTGTAGTTATTTGCACTCACACTCTGAATAGTTCACTTGTAATGTGATATTTATATGAAGTATAAAAATACTGTTTTTTATTTTACAGTTTTCACATTTCATTTTCATAATTTCTAGAACCTTATAAAAAGTTTTGAGATAAATGTTTAGATTTTATTTTCCATTTTCTCTACTATATCACTACTAAATCTAGCTATTATCATCAACATACAGTGCAATGAAATGTTTATAATTAACAAATGGAAATCCATACTTACCTTTCAACTCTTTCAAGAAATTTGCTAAAAGTCTTCTTTGTCTTGTATGTGTAATTTGTCTTCTTTATCTTTTCATTTAAAATGTATCTTTAATTTTTCATATCCATTCTTTATCTTTAGTTATTTCTGTCGAAATGTCTTATAATGGTGCTCAGGCCTTTTTACAGCTGTTAGCGAGAGACTCGTTAGCCCCGAGGGCAAAATGTTTTGCATACGTTGTATGTTGAGATTCAATGAGATACGAGACAAATAAGTAAACTTGTTAAAATCATTAAACATTTCAAGTATGAATTTTAAAACACAAATAACACACAATTAACTAAAATATATAATTAAAACCTAAATGCAATTTAACTGTCTAGCAAACTAATTTGTATAAAGCATAAAGCAACATCCAATTGCTGGGGACACTGATATCCACAATGGACGCCGAAGGAAATATGCTTAACATTCACAAAATAATCTATTACATATGTCTCATTTGGCCAAGAGAGGCTAATGGTGAAATTACTCTTTCTATTGGTTATAAGAATCCCATTCACGGACAGAAAAAACTGTTGCTTAGCAACAGATTAGTGTGGAATGTGACCAGGCAGATGGGGGAGTGAGATTTCCTAAAACTTCTAGCAGTTGAGAAATGAAACTAATGCATAAAATTTTAACTTATACACCTAGAACTTCGACTAGACTGTTGTAGAGATACAGAAAGAAAGCTATAATGAAACATAAGCAAACACGTATAAAGTCTTTCAACAGTATGTGCGTCACACTGATTTTTTAATTGTATGTTTCAGAGGTTTCTTTTGCAACAAAGGAATAATAACTTGGATAACATAAAACTTTGAATTATAATGCATTTTTAATGCTAATTTCATTAAAATATATTGACAGTAAATTGGTTTAATTAAATTTTGATTGTAACTTGGGAACACTTTGGGACATGCACAGAAAAGGATTTAAAAATGTTACTGGGTTACATAGGGTTAAAAGGCATGCTCCTTAAAGTTATACAGAAATGAAAGCAGGTTGAGCTGATCATTAATCAAGGACATGATAGGGTTGTTTCTAGTTCAACAGTATTACTTAAAAAAACATAGGTGCTTACAACTCATTGTTCTCTCTCTAATTTGTGCCATAATTTAGTTTTTGTACTAAACTTATGTTAATGCAAAGTGAATTTACTTATGATTGACTGTTAATTAATATAAATTCAGGTGTAAATTCAGGAAAATGAAGATCCTCATTTTAATATGATTGAAGAGTATTTCATGGAATATTATGAAAACCAATCAGTAAAACCGGCAATCAAATTAATTTCGAAAAACTTTCAAATCACAACAATATTTGAACGTTAGAAGCTCAAATAAGCATCAGTAATTACTAACATTCAGAAACGTCTAAATTTTCTGTCATTCTGGTGTTATCAATAAAGTGGCTTGTAGTCCATCCAAAAAAAAAAAGATATTTCAAATCTGTACTTTTAAGTTTGTGGAAAAAAAGCAAAACAAGTCGTGTTTATTAGTAATTTGCTTGATAAACAGAGAAATTGTATATTGACGTTTGGTAATCAGCATTGTCATGTTTTTACAGTCATATTTTTATATTACTGAAACTGGAATGTACAAGAAACAAATGTTTTATTTTCGTAAACCTCTGTGGCAGAAGATACAGATGCTGGGTTTTAATGGTAAGTTAATTTGTAGTAGTATAAAAAATTATAGTAACAGGGATTTATAATATTTAATCCTTTACCTGTTTTAGGTCATTTAATTGTTTTTTTATGGATATGGTTATATGACTACTTACCTTTATTCATTTGTTGGAAAATTAGTGTAATGAAGACATAAAGAATTGACAAAAAAATTATTGTAATTATCCTAAGTTTACATTTTCTCTTGCACGAAAGTAACTTAACCTGTTATTATTCACATGCGCTTTGAATGTCACATGTGATGCTCATACGAAGCTCACTTCTAATCTCATACGTTGAACCAAAACAACCAGTTCTTACTGCGACGATCATGAGGATCAGCTGCATATCAAATAAATGTGTATCACATATGATATTCAGGCACTTTAGCATTATGTTTTGTGAATCACGTGGGATGCAGAGGACGAGGATAGGGTTAAGCATATAACTGATTTTTCAAAATATATTGAATAAATCTTTGCAAATATGAGGACTGAAAAGAAAATATATAATAATAAAAGGGTGTGTCTGTGGGTCTGTGTGTGCGACCTCCATAGCTCCAAAAGGAAAGAAGCTAGAAACCTGAAATTTTGCACACATACTAAGTGGACCCTGAAGGTGTGCACCTGGGTATTATTACTTATCAATGTTTGTACACATCTTTCTATAAGGTAAGCTAATGAAAAACCACATAGAAGTGTTTTTTATGTTTCTGGGAAATAAAAATGTTTAAAATACTTTTGATTGTTCTGTGTTAAAATAGGTTCAGAATACACACACACTGACATAGTCCTCTAGAATATATCAACCTAATAACCCGAGCAAAGCTGGGTACTTTTGCTATTGTGTAGTATTTGTAGCAGTGCCTTGTGGTATGGACCAAGGGGTTTTATTTCATTATATCACAAGTTTTTGTATAAGTAATGGATTTTCAAGCAACAATGCCATGTGGTTTGATCAAAGGAGTTTTATTTTATCATATTACATGTTTTGTTTAAGTAATGGATTTTCAAATTATATTTACTTTGGGAAAACATTCAACATCATTTTAATTGTACTTTTATTTGCTTCTAATTACAGAACTTGATAGAAATGGGTCTATTGTACATATATCAGAGGTAAGTACATCATTCATCTTTTTGAGTGGAAAGGAGGGGGTTAAATTTTAGAGAAAAAAGTATAATGTTCTGTAAGGTGTGTGATAACGTAATAGTTTTTCACATATATATGCTTCAATGTTTTTGACATATATATAAAAGGCATAAAATAGTTTGTATTTTATGAATGATACACATTAGGGAATATTGACTTTTTTTGTTTGTTTTGTTACATGGAATCAGGGTAGTAAAAATGTCCAAAGTCTTCAGGGCACAAACTTCAAACCTTCCAGAAATGTGGAGGATTCAAGTGTATAACTGAACCAAAGATTGTTTAATTCGAGTTTCCAGTAGATATACGGTCACATACTTCTGTGTTGAGATTTCCATAGACCAGTGAAGGAAAAAATGCACCCATCTCAGAGAGAACTACTGTGAACTATACTTATTTCACTATGAACATATTAGTAATTTAGTGAGATTTAAGGTAGAAGATGGCTGACAAGAGAACTCTCCTGTTGGTGTTACAGTAAAATGTTGGGATCCTCACTGTTGGTGTCTTCACTAATCCTTCATTACAAGTGCATTGTGTGTGCAACTGTTCTGCACCTCTGTATGGAAAAACTGTATTTTTATCCATGTAACTTTTTTGTTCCCCCTAGACATTTGGATTGACTTTTCCTCTTGACTAATTAAAGTTGAAGATATGTGTTAATTCTTTGTTTATATTTCATAATCTATATATAGGCCTCCCAGTGAAACTTTAAAAACCTGTTTTTCAGAAGCTTAACCAATAAAACTTGTATAATTACTCAAAAAGCCTGTAATAATAGCTCATAATGAGTCTGTATTTCAGACAATTTCATCCTGTTATTTGACAAACTTAGCCTTTATTTTAAAGGCTGGCAGCAGTAGACATTGCTTGGAGGTCCTTATGTAGGTTTTTAATTGTCTGGTAAAATATTTCTTCAAATTGTATTGTACTAGTTTGACAGAATCCTTTCAAGAAACAAAACATGATGGTAATATCTTTTTCTTGCTATCTGGACTCTTGTGTTCGCACGAGAAGTTGTTCAATATAAAATTTTTTCACTATGCTAACATCTTTTCTTCTTCTCTCAGAATGGTGGCAGTAATTATTTTAGTGTCAAAAAAATTTATTTTATTATTTAAAGTATACATTGCCCAGATCATCGTATCTCACTCTCCTTCATAAACTCTCAATTTTTAGCCAGAAGTGACCAGACTGTGTGCCGAAGGAAAATCTTTAGGAACAAACACCATCAGACTTCTACCGAAAGCATGCTCACTACGGCCAATTTTGAACATGGGTAGTAAAAGCGTTGTTGGGGTAAGAACAATTCACATGTCAATGTTCCTCAAACATAAATTACTGTTTTCAAGCACTGTTTTTGTTCCAGCTTTCTAACATCCTTTTACATACGTGTGTGTATTTTATCTTCATGCTTTTTGTTCAAGTGGTTATGTCATTATGTTAATCACTTTTTTTGAATAATGCTCATGAGTGTGTGACCTAAAACATAAGCATCATGTAAAGAAAAAAAGGTCCAAGTATCGAAAGAAACTAATAAAAGCATCGTTCGCATTGATTTGCAAAAATTTTCACCCTACCAATGCTAAAGGTTTAAAATACTGATTTTGTTAATACTGATGATTAATTTAAAAGGACATAAAATCAGTTAAAATAAAGTAATAATAAACCAGATGAAACTACTCTGTATAAAATAAAAAACGAGTTACATCAGGATTGACTAACCAGGTGGTACACTGGTAAGTCAGTATTTTGAATGCAGTCACAGGAACCGGACAATAGCTATTGGTAAAACAAAACCTGTTGTGGCTTTATTCCAGTTCCAGACTAATACACTAATATGTAACAAGCATTAAGAAACCAAGCCTCAAAGTCAGTGACACTAAAAATAAGTTGTGTTTTTAGCTTCAATTTGTATGTATTTATTTGTAATTTTTGCCTGGTGATTGACGAGTAGGTTCAAACTGCCTTGTGGACTGCCTGTTAAACAACCCATTGTCATTGTTTTATTAGACATTCCAAATTGTTAAAGTCACTCTTTGATTCCCTACCTAACAGGTTAAAAGGTTTAACATGCACAACAGTTTTTCAGAATAGTTTTAATGATAGGGATAACATTTCATAAAACTTTTCAGTTTGATTACAAGATAAATGGAAGGACATGTCCCAAATCTTAACTCCCTCTGACCAATGCCAATTGTAAATGTGACATCATCCTTACTAAGATAAAAATGATTTTACTGCACATTTAAAATTAACAGACATATGTTTGCCTATTGAATAAATTTTCAGTAAACAGTATAATATCTAATCAGCTACTCAATTTAAAAAGATTTAATTTAACAGAGATATACTTGACAATTTAATAAATTTGATAAACCTTATAATACCTAACCAAACACCTTAACCTGTATCTTGATATTTTTTGACCATCTTTCAAATCATTAGATAAGGATCAGTTGAAAGAAAACTATAACATTTTTCAGATTGTTTCATTGTTGTAGCACTTAAAACTTCTGAACTGTGATGTTCCACTTATTTACGTGACTGACTACTTACTTTATCCATTAAAGTGTTGAGAAAGGGTAGCATTTAGTTGTATTTATGTCCTTGTGAATTTGCAAAAATGTAATTTAAAAATAGATTTATAAAAAATTATGCAAATGATTGTCTTTAGTATTTAATTACTAGTTATAAAAAAGGGTGTAAAATACACTTATTATTAATTTTAATGCTATTTCTACCTTAAAAATATGTTTTTATAATTCGATGCTCCCAATTAAGGCATCCTCAAGAGTGTTCGTATCATGTAGATATAACTTGATGTTGCTTCAATAGTGCTAGTATCATGGAGATATAACTTGGTGTGTCTTCAGTAGTGTTATTATCATATGGATATAACTTGGTGTTTTTTCAGTAGTGCTAATATCATGTAGATATAACTTGGTGTTTTTTCAGTAGTGCTAATATCATGTAGATATAACTTGGTGTTTTTTCAGTAGTGCTAGTATCATGGAGAAATAACTTGATGTTTATTCAGTAGTGTTAGTATCATGAAGAAATAACTTGATGTTTCTTTCTTCAGTAGTGTTAGTTTCATGGAGAAATAACTTGATGTTTCTTTCTTCAGTAGTGTTAGTTTCATGGAGAAATAACTTGATGTTTCTTTCTTCAGTAGTGTTAGTATCATGGAGATATAACTTGATGTTTCTTTCTTCAGTAGTGTTAGTATCATGGAGATATAACTTGTATGTTTCTTCAGTAGTGTTAGTATCATGGAGATATAATTTGGTG